ATCTATCTCATATGGAGTGAAAATCGAATGCATCTATTCCTTTTTCAGTATCCTTCTGTCACGTTTTTTTAAAAAAAGAAAAAAGAAAAATAAATTCGCAATTATTTCTAAAAATTCATTTGATACTGCAAGTAAATTCATTTGCAAGTCTAATTTGAAACATATCTCTATATTATTTGTCTTAATGAAAAATTTATATTTTCTATTAAAAATTGTATTTTATATATTGTTTTTAATTCCAGCTTTTTAGAAAAAAAAATTTTGAAACATTTTTTAAATAAAAAAATACATATTAAAAGGAATCATAATTAAACTTTTTAAAAATTACAAAAAGATTATAAATTACTTGAATCATTTTTATTTCAAATTTTTTCATAGCTCGTTCTTTATTTTCACAATTTAACACAATAAACTCTACACCGCATATTTTTTATAAAGCAATTGATAAAAAAAATTTTTTAATTTTTAAAATTTTTTTAAATTTTTTATTATCGTGCTTTAAAAAAGCAACATTAGCTATTAATGTTTTATTTAGTATTTAATAATAATATAGTAATTTGTAACAAATATTAAAATTTTCTCTTCTAAATTTAATAATATAGTAATTTGTATAACAAATATTTAAATTTCCTGTTCTAAAAGATAAAAAGAGTCATAGTGTGGTAAGGTTTTCGTTTTAAATATTATCGCGAACATATGCTCAAGAATGCATTATGTACGACACGTGTTCGAATAACAATATATGTTGTTCACACATTTTCATAAGAAACGTTTATACGCGATTCTTTCCTTATGCGTGGTAGTCAACAATCTTACGAAAGTGTGGACATGTATCTGCTTTCATCACAGGTCATTTCGGCATAAAAGAAAAACGTGCTTGTGCCTGGAGTTTTATCGAACAAAAGCCATGCTTGCATGTCCTTCTTTTTTCTCTTGTCTCTTTTAGTGCATTCCGAGAAAAAACACGACTTGTATGCATTGATATCACTAAATCGATGCTCTCAAAAATATTTTTTTAAGAAGAGCAACATGAAATTTTTGGCTAATATATATTGTACATAGATATTTTTATTTATCGAGAATATATTTATCTAACAGTCTCATGTGAGTTTAAAATGGTTACTATTTTGTGCATATCTACATTAAATTAATTTTCTAGTTTAAGATTTATTTAAAATTACACGCGCGCGTTAATTTAAAATAAAAAAATAATTTAAGAAAATAATTAGTAAAATAAGATCTTTTTAACTATCGGCACTTCTGAGTCTTTAAAACGTCGTTAAATATCTTTAATTACCAAATCTTGTTTTTATTAGACATAAGATGACTTTAAGTCGTATGTCTTCCTAGCGTTAAATGCGAATTAAACATTTATAATTATTTATTTATATGTATTAGCTATTTTCATATTCGAGAAAGGAATAATAATCGCATACATTTTACGCAAAGAATATCAAGCAGCACCCTCCTTAAATGAACTTGGAGGGAATCTGTTTTACGAGGGAAATTGCGACAAGGACACAATCGGGCACTCGCGGATATTGGCGAGTTCGTTCATTCATAGCGCTGATTTAAATTCGTTGATTCGAGATAAAAGCCTGCAAGTGAGCAAGGGTCCCGTACGTTTCTCCTCTACTGATTTTTCTTTTTTATGATAGCGATATCGCTCATCCCCTTGATTTTTCCCAATGTGCTGAAGTATTGGCAGCTCGATAAGTCCGGAACTCGATTTTCACAACGCGTCTGGTACATTAGATCTAAATACTCTTTTATCAAAAGTTCAATATTTCAATATCTCAATAGTTTAGAAACGTAAATGTCATGAAAGTCAATACTTTTTTGAACTTATTGTTATCGGTGCATTTTAATGATCCAAGTGATAACACGACTGGAAGTACATTTTCACATAAAGAACACAGCAAAAACACATATAAGAAATGTGAATTTTAATGAAATTCCCGTCGTTATTGCTGAAACCCGTATGAAGCTGGTGTGAAGTTGGCCCCCCAAAACATAATTTTCGTATATCTTTCGAACGAAGGGTGAGCAAACAAAAATTTCAACTGAGCATTCGTGAGCAAACGATGAGCAAACGAATGCATGAAGAAAAAAATCGATTTTTTAATATTGAGGGGCCAGCTTCACACGGGTGTTGCTGAATTATTATACTAAGATACACTTCGTAGTATTCATATAACAATGGTTATAACTATAGATTAAAAAAACGAAATTTTGAAAGAATTTGAGATCCTTGGTGCAATATTTTCGTATATGTACAATGGTTCTTATGCGCAATTCTCTAGCAACTTGCCCTATACTTGAATATGCATGTATCTTGCATCTCGGAGTAAAGGGATTGAATTACGTTGCTCGAGTATCTTTGTACTTGTGCAATCCAGTGAATTCTACGAGAAATTTCTAACATTTATAGAATCACGAAATTTCTGTACATGACATGTACTTATAGTGCAAGCGAAATACGTTGCTTTGTATGACATCGCTCGTTAACCTCCCTATTGAGAATAAGCATGCAATGGCAAATTGCGATCCTTTGATGATATCGAAATGTTTTCTTTAAGCTATTTATAGTTCTTCAACTAAAAGTTATAAATACAGTAAATTGAGACATATTAGAAATCAGTGTTCCCTAGACAAAAGTTTAAACAAAATATAAAAAATAATAAAATAAATTGCTTATAAAAAATTACATCACTTCATTACTTACCAAAAATCCATCAAAAAAAATTTTAACGTAAAAGTGTTGAAACAACGCGTTAACAAGGCATTCCAATATCTCTTGAATGATTAACAGTTCCTATCTCTTAAGAATTTACTTACATGTTCGTACGCAAAATAAAATACTGCCTCGAATACTATGACACATTACAAATACAAATACTTACTATTATTCAATTGTCAGATACTCGTAAATATTTAATGTTAAAAAATTTAATTGACATATCAGAAATATACATTTATTAGGTTTCATAGTTTCGAATTTTTAACTGCACCGCGTGTTGAGAAATAAATATAACTTAGTTCATAAATTTGAAGAATTAATAGACTCGACTCTAAAGCTAATCCTTTTTTCTTGCAAAACAGAGTCAGCTGTTGTATCAACGTCTCTTATCACTAAAGCATACAACTACGTGGAACGAATATAACAAATCTTTGTTGTAATTCATCGTTAAGCTAAATTGACGTAAGCTAAGTTCTGCTTTTCCGTTTCCTGTATATACGCGTTTAATATATATAATACTAAAATTGAAATGAACATTAAATATAATTTTATGAGTTTATTTAAATAGTTCAATGTTTCATTTAAATAATTCGAAATTATTAATTGTTTGTACTAAGTATAAATAATTTAAAACTGAGTTCTAAAATAATAACATAAAATTAACGTATTATAAAAGGGGAATTAAAAATTGCTGATTTCTGTTTGCAATAAGCATTTTAAATTGTCTTTAAGTTGTCTAATTTGTTCTAACTTTTGAATCTTCGAACGATCGATCAAGCAGCTCAATTGTTTATTCTGTACTAAATGTACGAAATGCTCGAATTGAATCGCGAGCTTGAAACGTTCGAGCTATCCGAACAATTTGATCACACAACTCCCTTAAATCGAAATTTCCGTAATTCTTTAGACTTATTTGTTACAAAAATGATTAACAAAGAAAATTGCCAAAAATGTCATAATATATAAAAATATTAAGAGCAACTTAATTTTACGAAGCTATTTTTTTTAACTGAAGATACATTAAATAGATTCAAATGGAACAATGAAGTTAAGGGAATATTTTGTTACACAGTTCGACACAGGCGATATGTGTGTTCTTGCATTCGGATGAATGCAGCTTGTGTCTAACCGTTGCTTCACGCATGCAATATGAATTACATGCATCGCGATGCATCATAATTAGCAGCTTTATAGAAATGAAAGAAAATACGTGTAAGCACCATGTCACGTACTTGTGCTATGAAAATATATCATCGTCAAAAAGTAGTTTTCATACATCTCTAAAACATCTTTGTTTAAATCGTATTACACGTGTATTACTGAATATTCTAGAATTCTCGACTTTTATTTTAGTGACAAATTCTGTAACTAATTTATACCTATACATTATAATTTGTTATTAAAACATTCAATAATAATAAAAGGGAAAGTTTAAAATCTTTGATTAAATATTATAATTTATAAATAATAAATGAAAATCTTGCATAATTTTCTCATAAAAGTAAGATGATGAAATTCCATATAAAAATGCAAAAGTTTTATATCGGATAAATTGGTTCCTAGTTTCAATCAAGGTTAATACGCAAAAATGCAAAATAAAATTCTTAATCTGCAACAGCTTATCCAAGCTCTAGATTATTTTCAGTTCTAAAATGCAAATTTCGGTATGATTTATAGTTTTCAAAGTTTATACTTGATTAATTCAGAAATGTATGATTTTTAATATAGTATGATATTTAATAAGTTTTTAGTGATTTAACTAGTTATATATATTATATGTTATACATGTATAACACCCAAGAGAGATAATGCTCGAGAAAGCAAGAAGAAAAAGATATTATCCTAAACTATTGAACATTTTTCAAGAAATGCAAAGAAAATGATTTAAAAATGTTCAATACAAAAATATAATTTTTAAATAAGTAAGTTTTACCTTTTTCCTCAATACTCAATTTATCGAAATTATTTTTCATCCGTTGAAGCTTGGATTATGTTCAAATAAATTGGATTTTAATTAAGATTAAATGAAACAACTTTTGCGCACGTTTTAAAACAGTCTTTATGGTAGAAGTTAATAAGGTGTAGGTGGTGGCTTCGTATTACGGTCACGTGAAGATGACGTAAAGCGAGACATGAAGAGAGTCAAGTGAAAAAATGCGTCATGCGTTAAGAGAAAAAAATAAGGAAAAGGACAAGTAAAGAAAGACAATAGCAGTACATTATTAAAGTAAATTACAAATTTTTCAGTGTTTTGTATCACCTTGTACACAGCGCCGCTGCCACCCATGCCGAGAAACAAAGAAAAGTTGCCCTTGCCTTTGTGCATACATATCTATATAACATAATATATACACATATATAACGTAACAATTTAATAAGAATAAATTAGATAAGTCTAGTTTTTTATTGTCCACTTTATTTATTTACTCTCTAATTATTATTGCATATTATATAATTAATTATTAGTGGCTTTTTGCGATAATTCTAAATGCAGTATTGTAAAAAACTATGCTGTACTTACCCCGCCCTCAAAGGTTCGCAAATGGCGTAGTAGCGCTCGAAACTGATGGCTAAAATTGTGAGTACCGAAGCATGCGCTACAGTTAATTCCACGAATGGGACAGCTTTACCTGTAACAGTTTTTACATTGATTTGAAACATTAAAAAACTATGTATGTAATGACTTTTGTCACTATTTGTTGAAGAAAAACAAAACTTTTGCACGCATATAATAAACAATATGCACCTATTAAACAATAATAAAATAAAAATAGATATTATTTTTTCAATACCAAAGTGTAATGTACAATAACATAATGGTTAAATAAAAAAATTTATCAAAATTTTATTTAAATTTATTTTTTCCAACTTGTTAAATTGTTTTATTTTCCATTTGTTAACGAAAGTAGAACATGATAAAAGGTAATATACGAAACGACGTGAGAAACTAGCAAGTTCGTGTAGTAAACTCTGGTATTTTATTTCTAAAGTCAGAAATCACGAAATCAAATTTTCCTTAACAACAAAGTTTACGCTTTAAAGTTATAATATTGGTCAAGTTTATTTTTTATACAAATACGTTATAAATAATATAAAAACTAATTGTAAATTACAACATAAAAGTATCTAAAAATAGAAGACTTAATTGTCAAATCACATCATTTGATGATAAATAATTATAAAAAAGTTTTCATGTTATATGTGTTCGTAATTAATTCCAATTAAACAATGAAATAAGAAGCGATTCAATAATTAAGAAATTAATCCATTTTAAAAACAACGTAACGCGTGCATTAATTGAATATTAAATCAAATAATACACTGATATTCTATTACAAAAAAAAATAAAACCTTCGATATCGGTTGAATGCATTGCATCGTTGAGAATATTGGAGAGACAATTTCTCTAAAATCCTTTTATTTACATGCTGGACAAAAGGAACAACGTTTTTGTGGATACGTGATTTATAATTCCCAAAAGGGATCTTGCTTGAGGAAACAAGGTACCGCAATAAACTGCCACTACACGTTGGACACTATCGTTCTTCGACGCGCATCGATTCCTTCATTTATCCAGTAACCACCTGCTTGAGCAATAGAATCATTCGTCATGTTGACATTTTTTCTCAAGATAAAATGGCAAATCCATCGATTTTTCCAGCCGAGAAAGAAAGAGAGAGAGAGAGAGAGAGAGAGAGAGAGAGAGAGAGAATTTATACAATATTTGTCATTCCTGATTAAAACGAGAATACTTCATGCCATCTTTTTGAAAATGTGCTTCACTTTTGAGACATTTCTAATATTAGATTTGAAAAGTTTAGACTATTTCGAGGTAAGAGTAATGCGATTCAGAAACTCGTCAACAAATTTATTCACAGAGATAATTAATTTTGTGAATCTCTCTATTACTCTGCCTAAAATAAAGTTAGGTGAGTTGGTTGAAAAACGATTAGTCAGGAGAGAAACTGTTCTATTACCTCAGTATTTCAGGATGCATATACTTTAGAACAAATTTCTATCTTTGATATTATAAATAATACATATTTTACTAAATTTTCAGAGAGAATTATCTGATTATATAATACCTTAATGCATGCGGTTTTTTGTTCGAATTTGGGATTTAATTCGCAAATTAATGAACCGCGTACTAATTTTAACTTTTGACATTTGTAAACTAAACCGACTGTGTACAGACCATCATGAATATTAAGCGGATAATTCATAAACATGTGGCGACATATTGGTGTTACAGTTAACATAATAAATATTACATATAAAATTTATTATAAGCCTTCACTTTATTATTAAAATATTTACAAAATTATCGCGAATAAATATGTCTAATAGGAAAAAGAACAAGCAGATACATTCTGTGTTAAAAAAGAAAACACGAAACTCTCTCTCAAGAAAAATATTAAGAAAATTGTTACAGTCTATGGTCGGTATTCAATCGATTCTCATATTTAAGACCGTCTTATAGTGATGTCATAAACTACTCATGGAGTATTACCACCTAAGATAGTCTTAAAATAAGTTCTTGTTAAAGCCAAATTAGAAGCAAAAGAAAAAATTAATATATTAAGTTATGTATCAGAAACCATATTAATTTTATCTATTTATTTTCATGATAATAAGAGAGTTCAAAAAAAAAATTTTATATATAGCTTTCAAAATCCAGAAATACAAAATACATAGATTAAAATAATTACGAACTAAAATGTAGCGTTAAACTTAAAAAATTCTTATTCGTTTATAAAAACAATTCGTTTATTGAATGAATTATATTTTTAACTTGCGTTCATTATTTTAATGCAATGTTGAATAAATTATGAAACTCAAAGAGAGCGCAAAGAGAGAGAGAGAGAGAGAGAGAGAGAGAGAGAGAGAGAGAAAGCTTCAGTATTTATAAACTCCTTAATTTCACATAAAAATTAATAAACTTTATTCGAAGATCATCTTTTATTACTTATTTTTTAAAATTATTTTTTATTTCAAACAAAATATGTTTGAAATAAATATATGTTTAAATAATTTATTATTTATTACTTTCTTGAAAATTTGCTCAATTTTAACACGCATTGATACTGAGTCGTTGAAATTAAAACATAATTAAATGCGTAATTAAAGAAACATACTCATTTTTTTTATTGTGTCTTTTTTCAATGCTTCATGGCTTACAAGGGGACATTCTAGACAAATTGCTCTAACTCCTCTGCCTTCGCGGGAGGGCAATTGAACAGAAGGGCGGTTAGATTTTCCTTCGGAAAGCTTCGAGGAACGGCCGATCCATCTTACGGTAATTCAGACTAGCTCTATAATAAAGATAATACGGCAGGCATTTCCTTTTCAAAACAAAAAATGGACCCTTCATATTTCTTGTCTCAAGTTAGTCATGTGTGGCTATATGATCTAACAATTAAGTCCTTTTTCTTTCTCTTTTATAAAATATGATAAAGTGCGCAGTTAATATTTTATTTATTCAATATGTCTTACAATAATAAATTTAATTCTGTTATATATTATAACACGTATTATAATTAATATTTATTTAATATAGTATATATTTCTTCATCATAAGGTCAAATAATATTAAAATATAGGAAAATATAGAAAAATACGGGAAATAATTTTAAATGTCTTATTAAACATTAAAAATAGTAAGATATTATAAAAATGTTATGAGATGTTGATTGAGAGATGATGTATCCATTATCTGTTATCCGATAGTTTTCTTTCAGAAACAACGTGTAGACGTTGCCTTCATCCCTTATCTCCATTATTCACTTAAGCTTCATATAGCTCCTTTCCATTTTCCCGACTGTAAACCAGTATATAAGTTAGAAAAGCTATAAAAAAGTTATGACAATTTTTCAACTAAATATCTATAAACATATCCATATTTCAATTCTGATGTCATAAAAAACGGACGGAGCGTTCTATTATACTCTAATTGTTTTATTTGTTACGTTATATTTGTTTAATAAATTGTATTTCACACACTTATATCCTGTGTTGGCTTTTATAGGCACTACATATTACATTTAGCGTTTTATTTATCTTGTTATAATTTATTATAGAAAATCTAAAGTTACTTATAGAAAGTGAGGTAAGATTACATGACCGGAAAAGGTTCGCCTTTTTAGGTATCCATCTACGCGGAAGGTTATTTCCACAATCGATTATCTGTGGCGCCAGCTTTCATAATTCAACACATATGTTCTCCGTGATCGGTTCTTATCACCGTTGCAAGGATCTTGAGCTATCCAGGGTGTCTTCCCGAGTGGAAAGCTATTCTAATACATCTTCAATCTTACACCACAAACGCAAGCCATTAGGTGGAATCCTTTTTTATCTATATAAGATCTTTCTATAATCCTTCTTTTAAATCCTAAGATATATGCTTACTGTATACATGTAAAATAAATGATTACGAACAAACATATACATTAATAAAATAAAAATAATAGTTATATATTATACATTTAAACAGAACCGATTCATTAACTTTCTTAATTATTTCTAAGTTACTGATTTTTAATAGAAATCTTTCTTATATACGTACATATGCATATCTCTTGAGAAGGAGAAATCAATTCTACTCGCAACATCTCATCGTAGGATGAGATAGCAGTGACGTAGTTAGACATGACAAGATGATGCCTCCCTGTAGACCTTAAGCAGTTCATATCTGATATGAAGGTGTAGGGTAATATAAGGAGATGTTCAGTGTTCATTAATACAAACTATAACAGAATTCACTTTGACTCATAATTTCCCGATGCTCAATTGAATTTCAAAATCTTAATAGCGTGTTATATGTATGATTTATAACTACAATCGATTTATAACTCCAATAATTAAAAGTAACTAAGACCGTTTTTTATTTAATTTTAAAAAATACTATAAAATTACGTACATTAAGAAATCTGGTTAGAATATTCAAGAATTATAGCAAATCACATTTTGTATTAAAAAAATTTATTTCTGATCTATTAAATGGTTATCATCAATTATATAAATTTAAGATATCAGATTGCAGATAAAAAATAATATAAAAAGTGTTCATCGTATATAAAGGATAAATATAAAAGAGGATCCGTTTATTTTTAGTATAGAAAATATAAATCTATTGCATTTCATGAAATAATTAATATTGAAATATATTTATAGTTATGTCCCGTTCGTTTGCTGGAACTTTTTTTGTTCCCTCGTCTCATTCGTAAGATGTTATTTGCGAAATTAGAATGATATACTTTCGCACCATCGATTACATCAAGAAAAAAGTTGTTACTATCATTCTGTGCAGGAAGACTTGTCTTTATTCCGCAAATGGATTTTGTCACAGATCAATTAAAAGAATGAATTAAATGAATCAGCACATTTATCATCAGTCTTATCATATACAGAATGGACCATTTGAGCTTTTATACTACTTTTATATCGCCTTTTGTGTCATAAAGAAAAAAATCGCAGTCCCAAAATATACTTTATGATCAAGAATTCTATGATTCTCATAAGAAGAACAAAAGAAAATCGTTTTCTCGGACACCTAAGTAACTAATAATATTTTATTATTTAATAACTCGTTACATATTATACATATATATACTTATATATATATATAATATGT